AAAGCAATTGATATAGATTACCGTTCCGTTTGGGTTTATCCAATATAAGTTCCATTTCCAACCGTAACTCTTCTTGAATATGTTGCTTCCATGCTGCGACTTGATTTTTATCTGCATCCTTAATGCGCCAATTAAAAAGAAACTAATTTTTGTAGGATAATCTAAAAATCTTATCCAAGCATGAAGAGCGCTTTATCCACAAATTTTTGTCATTAATTTCATAACAAGCAGAGTTAAAATCGGTAATCTATAACAATTATCACCCCAAGGCCCCCGGGAGGAGGAGCCACTGCAAGAACGGCCGCAAACCTCGCCGCAGGCACCGCGAGAGACGCAGCCCGACGCGGGAGCAGCGCACTGGCGGGAATTGCGTCGCGACGAGTGGCCACAAGAGGTGGAACAGCACGCCGTTTGAATGGAGGCCAAGGGTGGCAGGCGCACCACATGGATCATCTGGTCAGTTGGCGTAAAGTATCGGGTGCGGCGGGAGCGCACCGGGTGCAGGGCCTTTGTGTTAAACTTTGTAAGGCGGCTCGATGAGCCACCTCACATAAGTCGTTTTCAAATGCCCGCGCAAGTCGCAGCGATCGGCAATGCAACCATGGTTTACATATATACACCAACGCGTATATATATATGCTCCTATCCGCTTATATGCATACATACGCACAAACCTTCACTTTCTTGCTCTCACTTTCGCACAACGTTTTCGGCGCGCTGCACTGCAACGCCGTTACGCTTACACCGTTGTTCGCCACCACTGCTTATTGATGGAAAGGTTTTGAATATTGTAACGGGTACAAATTCGTGCCAATCATGCCCTCTATGCGGGGCGAAACCAAAACAATTGTTAGAAATTGCTGATTTTAACTCAGCGTGTTTTAAAGTGACTGAAAAAAATCTTAAGTATGGATTAAGCCCACTTCATGCTTGGATAAGATTTTTAGAGTTTGTGTTAAGAATATCTTATAAAAATGATTTAAAGAAATGGCGCATAAAGGAAGCAGATAAAAATCAAGTCGCAGCACGGAAGCAACAAATACAAGAAAAGTTATGGCTGGAAATGGGTCTTATAGTTGATAAACCCAAACAGAACGGTAGTGGAAGCAGTAATGATGGAAACACCGCCCGAAGAGCGTTTTCAGATCCTAGAAAGTTTTCTGACATACTAAATCTCAATTATGAAGTTATCAGGAACTTTCATATAATATTAATTGCTATCTCATCCGAACATTATATAAATAGCGATAAATTTAGAGCTTTCTGCGTCCGTACATTTGAAATATATATGAATAACTATTCTTGGTATCCCATGTCCCCAACTGTGCACAAAGTTTTGATCCATGGATACCAAATAATGGATAGCTGCATAGTTCCTGTTGGTGTTCTCGGAGAAAACGCATCAGAAGCTCGAAACAAAATTTATAAAAATGACAGAAGGTCGCATGCCAGAAAGAGCAGTAGGCTAAACAAAATCACTGATGTTTTTCACAGGGCATTAGATTCATCTGATCCGCTTTTGTCAAGTCTCTGTCTTAAAAAAAGACAGAAGCTTCACAAAAAATTAAAATTTCCAAGCGAAGTGATTGATCTGTTTGCTCTGATTGAGCCTCCGCAAATCGCGCATCAATTTACAAATGAAACTGAAACTTTAGAAGCTGAAGATGAGGATGAGGATGATGCAAACAATTTCGACCCGAATATCGAATTGGATGAAGAAAATTATGATTATTGATGTTAATTTTTGGAGATGTGGTAATTATTGTAAAATAAAAATACAACATTTTTTTCATATTTTTCTTAATTTTACAGGGTATCAACGGAATGAAAATACACATTTTAATTTTTTTATTATATAATAAGCTGTACACATTTATTTTTATATGAAAATATGTAATGTAAGATATATATAATATATTTAAAAAATTTATGTCTGAAGTACACATGATTTCATTAATGGGTAACAAGGAGGCGGGGAGAAGGCGTGGTCAAATCGTAAAAAAAAAAAATTCGAGATTCTAACTTAGTCAATCTTAGGTGTATGTAAAATTTCAACCTCCTAGCTCTATTTTTAGAATTGATGCCAAAATTTCGGGCTTTTTTCCTATAGTGCACTGCTGCTATGTTCTTTGCTCTTTCGTTGCGTCGATCGGGTACCCGTGGGTATGCTCGACTACGCGCTTCCACGCACTTTTTTTTCTATGCGAACACTTCTGCCGTCCAGCTCCCTATATTCGGGCAAGTTTGCGGGTCTTTACGCCGCTAGCTTGCCACACTCTCCTCAGTCAGGTCCCTGCTCGGGCGCCACTTGTAAAGGATCCAATTTTCCAGCTGGGGCAGCGTCAGTTTACCCAGGGTGGATACCACAGCTCAGCGTGCGCTGGGTGTACTACCGCAATAAAGAAGAGTTGGTGGCAATAACCCGAGAGCTCGGACTGGAATGCGACGGTCGGGTGGATGACCTACGAAAGAGGTTGTCGGCATACATACAAAATGGTAAACACTCTGCGGGGATGAGGATGCGCCTGGGCGAGATAGAGGCCCGTTTCCCTAAAGGGACAGATACACTTCCAGGACCGGCAGCGGAAAGTATAGGGGGACGCGCCTATCAGAAGTCGGAACCTGACCTCCGTAAATTGCAAGAGCCAGAGTTGGCCCCGATGGCAGACTTGAGGCTAAAAGTGCCTGGCGTCGACGAGGCGAGAGCGGCGCCACCTACGCCAAGAACCCCTTTACGCAACCCCATGCCCTCATCACCACCGGAGAGACACACACCTTGGTGCGTGGCTGAACAGGTGAGGAAGTGGGGCATGAGGTATGACGGCCAGGCGGACCCGTTAGGATTCGTAGAGGTGGTAGAAGAGCGGGCCATAACATATGGCATAGAGCTGGACCGGATGCCGAGAGCGATGAGCGAGATATTCAGCGACAAGGCGGCGAAGTGGCTTTTAACCAGCGGGCTGAGAGACGCGACCTGGACCGAGTTCAAAAGAGAGTTTCTGGACTTCTTCCTGCCGCCGCAATACTTCGAGCGCCTGGAGGACCAGATCCAGGCGCGTCATCAGCAACAGGGAGAAAGCTTCAAGGATTACCTCCTCGAGCTCAGGTTGCTGATACGTCAGGCCAGATACAGCGCGGCGCAAGAGCTACACAGGGTGTACGAGAACGCCGCGCCTGAGTATCGGTTGTACGTAAGACGCCACGACTTCACAACGTTAACGCAACTAACCCAGATGGCGACAGAGTACGAAAATGTCCAGGGCCAAAAAAGGATTTGGGAGAGGAAATCCGTGGCGAGCCATTCGAGGGCGCCTTGGGCGATGCCGACGGACAGTCGGCCTGGAAATCCGTTCCGCGCGCAAACGTCGGAGCCGCGAAACGAACAGCAAGGCGCAGGTCATACCGCGGCGACAGCAACGGCACCAGCGGAGGCAGTGCATCGCATGGTGGCCCAGGATGCCGGTTTCGATTTCGATCCGCGACGAGTTTGCTATCGATGTGCGCAGGTGGGACATTTCGCAAGAGAATGTCGCGGCGCGCAGGTACTGTTTTGCCGACGATGCGGCAGAAAGGGGAAGAGTACACAAGAGTGTTGTCTTCGGACGGAAGCGGGAAACGGATAGGGGCGGGTATTGGCAGATCCCGATGGCTGCGGACAGCAGGGAGTACACGGCTTTCCGCATCTGGATCGAAGGGAGCGCAATAAACGTGACGGTCGCACCTTCGGGAAGCGTGACCATTGCTCTACAAAGTAAGGGGGGGTGTAAGGCGGCTCGATGAGCCACCTCATATAAGTCGTTTTCAAATGCCCGCGCAAGTCGCAGCGATCGGCAATGCAACCATGATTTCGACTTTCGCGGCGAAAAGTTCAAAGGGCCCGAAGCTGTGGTGAGTTGCATTGCCGACGCCGAAGCGGAGCGCGCGGCCGAGGTGTGGAGGCGGCTGGAGAGCGATAGAGGATTTAGTTAGTGAGTGACAGCGAGACTGAAGGTTAGTGGGTGAGCGCGACCATAGTTAGTAGCGAGATTAAGAAATTAAGAGAGTTGTGAAATAAAGAGATTGTGAAGAAGTGAATCTGTGTGTGTTTTATTTTTATCAGGCAACTAATAACTAGTAGATCCCATTTTCCCCCCTTCCCTCCACGTTGCATATTTCGTCATTTGGCCGAGGCGCATCCCGGCATTAAGTAGTTAAAGTAGAGAACGCGGCTATGCCCGTTCGCTGAGAGGCCAAACCCTCAGCATTGCTCCCCGTTGTTCCCTATGCCTAAGAAACCCTTGCTGTCGTCGACGAATGTGGAAAAGCGCTTCTATTTTGCTCTTACTATGCATAGGCACCCAGAGGACTATTAAAAGGACGTTATATTTTGCGACGAGACCAAAATAATGTTGTATTACAACGAAGGTCCGCCAAAAGTCTCTATGGCTTACGATAAAGCGAATATCATTCCAACAGTCAAATTTGGAAAACTGTCGGTTATGGTTTGGGGCTGCATATCCAGCCAATGAGTCGGTGAACTGGTATTCATTGAAAACACCATGAATGCCGAGCAATATCTTCAAATTTTGAAGTCAAATTTACGCCAAAGTGCAACCAAATTTGGCTTTATAACCGAAAATAGGTCAACTTTTAAATTTTACCAGGACAACGATCCTAAACATAAGGAGTATAATGTACGCAATTGGCTACTTTACAACTGTGGAAAGGTCTTGGATACACCACCCCAAAGCCCAGATCTCAACCCAATCGAACATGCATAGTCCTATTTGAAGAAAAAGGTTGAAACAAGGAATCCTACCAACCGTGGACAGCTAAAAGCTTTCATAATGGAGGAGTGGCAGAAGATACCTCTAGAATATATTCAAAACTTGGTCAACTCGATGAAAAGAAGACTCCAACATGTACATATTGCTAAAGGGGGCCATACTAAATATTAAGTTTTTCAAAATTATCTATAGTTAGTCTTACAATTTAAATTTAGAACAATATGTATAAAGTGTGTAAAGAGTTTCTTGACAGTGTCAAATATGAGTAATCTAAGTTTTTGTTGTTTTTTAAGTTTCACCCTTATTGTTTTTGTTTCTGTTTTTTATAATTTAATTTAAAAATATCTATCAAACAGTAACCCATTGAAAAAAATTACCTAAATTAAACAAAAACTCTTTATTTTTGCACATAAAGTAAAAAAATTGAGTTTTTTTCCACTGTGTAAAGTGTTTCTTGACAGACTGTATATAGACTGTCTAAAAGCAGACTCTCCATTGGGGAAGGAGTGATTTAGCTCCGCTGACCACAACCGCACAAGAAAAGATATGTTAACAGTTGGATTTGTCGCCTTCGCTAGAGAGACAAAGAAAGAAAACAAACTGTTTTCAAGCGCTGACTTTCCGCTCGAACATCGGCCATACTTTCATTTCAATTGGACACGTCGACCACAGATAACATTATTCTGAAAAATAATTGTGTCTCTAAAATAATTAATTAGTGCAAGTGCCAAGCTGTTTATTTATCGGTGAGATAGAACGGCTAACACTAAAAAAACAAGTAAGAGGCTCCCTGAACCCTCCAAGCTGGTATTCTATTCATTCTGCACTTCTTTTATGCATACATGCAAACATACGCATCCACACGTACGTATAAGCACACGCTCTGCTAAAGCACAAGTTTCTAGTACTTGGCTACCAAAAATCTGTAAAATTTATCGGATGAATTATCGAAAAAAATATGATAAACTGGCATTGCGTATGGTACAAACGAGTATGCATGTTTCAACTCTCTAGCTCTGATAACTTCTGAGATGGACGCACTCATACGCACGGACAGACAGACAAATAGAGATACAAATTATTAACAAAAAACACAAATTACAAAAAGGATTGCAAAAAGAGCAAATTATCAACAATACTTATTCTGTGTAGAAGCGATCGACTGAAGAAATCGCTACGAAAAGCAGCATTGAACACCAGAGAATGTAGAAGTCTTATCAGCACAGACGTAGAAAACCCCGAAATAAGCCCAGTTAAGGTGTCTGCAGCATCAAAACAGATTATTGGAACACATGTAAGTGATACTACTATTCGCAGTAGGTTAAAGGATGTTGACATAAACACCGCAGTGCAGCCTTTTACCAGATTTGGAGGTGGAACAGTAATGTTTTTCGGTTGCATGTCATACTATGGTTTTGGAGATTTGGTGCCAATAGAAGGCACTCTCAAGGATATCTCAGGATATCTACAGTCGGAAAAAAAGATTAGGTACGCGCCTTAAATCAACATTTATTTTAAAAAATACTCTTTAAATTATATGAACAATTATAAACTACGATTAGTTTACATATAAGAGAGGTATTTATTTATGAAATAGGCAAACAGAAATTAGTTTGCTTCATATATGACCTTTTTAGACGGGAAGGTGTATGCGAAATTGGCCGAACGATGGGGGCCACATCTGGAGTTGGGAAACTGGTATTTATAGATACCAAAATGGACAAGTATTACTATTTGAGAATATTGAAAGATAATCTCAATGAGAGCGCGACTCAGCTCCAGTTAGGTGAGGGCACTTATTACTTTCAACAAGATAATGACCCGAAACACACCACTTATCTGAAGGTGAAGGTGTGGTTTTGTATAATTCAAAGCAATTACATACTCCAGGCCTCAATCCAATTGAGCACATTTGGAATTTACTTGGTACAAGGATCCCTAATGTCGGCTTTGAGCTCCGAGTTGGTTAAACCAAACCAACCAAACCATTGGTACGGAGTATGCGTCGCCGACTGCTTGCAGTAATTGGTGCAAGAGATGGCCCTACTAAATATTAATACATAATTAGACTTAGTTTTTTTTAAGTGTACGAGAAACAATCTATTTCCAACCATTGACTGAGTATGGCAGTAAGATACTACTCCCTGCCATAAAAGATCAATACCCTCAAAGTTTTTGAGGGACTTAATCCAAGCCGTTCTACCCTGGCCTGCGCAAAGTCCGGACCTTAACATTATTGAAAATGTTTGGGAAATCTAAGATTATTATTCTGGCAAATAAAATACCCCCATCGGGTCGGTGTACTATTGAAATTATATTCTGTACTTTGTTTGGGCTATTTTTTAATTTAATTGACTCTCGTTTTTGTCAATAGCTTTAAGAAAATAAATAAATAAATAAATAAACAAGAACCAAAAACGCGATGATACCATCGAAGAAATGACCGAAATTTTGTCCAAACTAACAATTGACTTTGCCCGATTCTTGGTGGCATCAATTTCAGTCAAGCTTCAGGCTGTACAAGTGTACAGGTTTTAGGTGCTGATCTTGGAGCTCGGTATTTTGTGGGTGCAAAACATATTGCATCCTCAAAACGGCCCTATTGGAGAAATGGCCAAAAATATCCAGCGAAGTCACCCGAAAATTGTTGAACTCGATGGAATCACGCTTAAAAGAGGTGATTAAACAAAAAGGAGGGAAAAAATCCTAATTTGAGCATTTTTGGGCAATAAAGTCATTGAAAGTGAAGTGCACGGAATCAGCTGAGACATGGAAAAGGCCAGTTATTTTAGTATTCTTTAGATTTAAAAGTTATTTGTTAGAACAGAAAAACAATGAAGTGCATTAATACATAATGAATAACTGATAAATAAGACCCCATTTAAATTTTTTGGATATCTTTTTGACAATCGCTGAGTAACTGTTCCTTTCGTTCTATTTATAACCATGTACAGTTAATTTAGCAATTTCTTCAGTCGATCGCTTCTACACAGAATAAGCTTTGTGACAAAAAGGCTGTTTTTCAAAACCGGTGAACAAAAACAACAAAAAAGCTCTTTAAGCAGAACATGCAAACAAATTTTCGTTGTGTAAATACTTATGACCACATCTGTATATTTTTCATTTCATTAGAACGCTCGCAGCGCATGATTGCGTGATAATCCGATATTGCCTGGATAACAGAGAAAAATCTGGAAATGTGACGTCACAACAGAGCTGTTAGTTAACATTAAAAGTAGCGGAACTCCCCTTTGCCACTGACCACTGACACTAACCAAAGAACACATTTGTTCATTTTGTGCCAACGCTCGTAGCGCACTGATTTTGTCGTGCCTTATTTTCACTGCTTGAGACTCAAAAGACCGAGCCGAGCAAATACGAAGTTGTCTGGTCCCTTCAGCGCATTTTTTCGTCGTTGAAAAAATTTGTTCTAGATGTCAACTCTGTGTTCTCTGTTTATTGCCACCACTACTTTTTATAAGTTTTTTTTACTTGCATCACTAACACCACTGACCAGAGAACACAGTGCTAACACTAACCAGAGAACACTTAGACCGGACAAGTAGTGTAATGCGTTTTGCACACTTTTTTCGGGAGTTATCTCCCAGACACTTCGTATTTGCTCGGCTCCTCACTTTTTGGGTTCGGGCTACGAAAACATACGAAAGCACAATCATTTCGTTTCATGCGCTCGACCGAGATGGTCGAATGTTGAACAAAAGATCCCTCTGCGCTGAATGTTTCCCTTGCTCTCTGTCTCTCACGATGCTCTCTGCTCTCTCAAATATGTATATGCCCAGTGGCGGAAATGTTCATTATAACATCCATTACTCATGCATTACTTCGCGCCTGTGTGCATTCAATAACCGCTTACAAGCTGCCTTACTTTTTTAAGGAATGGCCGCTTTCCTCCCGGGTGCATGAAAATGTTGAATTTTGTAAAGTAGAAAGTAAGGCTGTGACGAAGTTGCCTTCGGCTCTCCATTACCCATGCGTATACTTTTTAAATATTGTAATGCAGAAATTCCGCAACCTGAAGAAAACGCATCATACAATTTCAAAATCGCTTATGGGTAAATAATGTACGTGCATTACAACACAATATACCTGTAACCCATTTTCCCACTATATAAAATGGCTTACTTCTTAATGTAAAGTAATTGGGGAAATAATTGATTACTAATTGAAAAATAGAAAGGCTTCAGTAATGCAGTATTTTTTGTGTAAATTTTTAAAAATTTTTATTTAATATTATTATTATTATTATTTATTATTTCTTAATATTTAAAACTTAAACTATGTCTTATTACTATTTTATTAAATCTACCTAAGCTATGTCTTATTATCTACTTTAATTTTGCAGTCAAATTTTTGTTTTGCCAGTCGACCTTTCTGGACTTTGAAGCAGTTGCGAATCGTCGCTATGTACGTCTTCTTCGTCGACCCTTCGGTTTTGATAGCATCTGTAAATTAAACATTATTAATTTTTGTTCATTCAAAATACATGTAAGATGATTTTTACATACCAGCAAGAGCATCGTTCAAATATTTGAACTCTTTAAATGGCTTTTTGCCGTTTAAGCCATCATAGTTAAGGTTTGGGATTATATCCTTGGATATAATGCTATCAAAATTTTTTGCCACATTTCCGTTAGCAATTTTTTGCTCCTTTACCTGTTGGTCTACTTTTTCTAAGTCTCCCATAGTTAATATGGGAAACCAATGCGACTCGGAAGCAATGTCCTCATTAGTTAACTTTTTGAGGATAGTGAGCATTTCCAACTGCCTTTTTTCTATTCTCTCCAGCCTTTGTTTGATTTCCGCTATATCCTCCTTCTTGGAATTGCTATTCTCCTTGTCATCGGCAAACTCCGAAGAAGTAATATTGAAGCTTTGCTTAAACATATCTTAAACAAAAATTCATTAATTAATAATACTTATGTCTGCGAGTGTAAAATAGGAATAAAAACTAAATTTTCGTTATATGGCAAGCAAATGTATTTATAGCTTATTTTGCTAAGAGGAACAAGTTCTTCCTCTAGCAGTTTTGTACTTGTTTGAACAAGACCTATTGTTTTTGAATTTATGGGCTCAGTGTAAAAAGGTTGAGGATCCTCAAAGCGTCGACATTGAGCGAACTTTTCATTTTCTATTTCTAAGAGTTTAACTATGGTGGCCGGATAACAAGGTGGGATGCAGCAATAATTATTGGGAGCTATAATTGAAAGAGTGAATTTTATAGAAACCCACTTCGTTATATGACCTTCCTTATTCCTATGGAACGTAGTAATACTGCATTTGACATTTTTACTTTTTTTAAATGAATATTTATTATAAATTTGCTGCGGAATGTTGATTGGACACTTAATAGATTTTTTGACTTCTTGCATAAAATTTTCAAATTTATATGCAGAATATATCCCATTTCTGGAACAGACTCACAAATATTCAAAAAATTATGAACATCAAAAGAAACATTTTGATTGCCATATTTAAGAGCAAACGTGCTCACAAAGTATTCGAAAATTTTTTGGATTATATCTATATTAGTATTATATTCGGATTTTGTTAATAACAGCCTATAACCAGTGTGCAACAAAAGTAATTTATAATAATAATCTTCTGGTATTAAATCTTTAAGGAGAACTATTGATGTGTATAAAATAAACAGCCTAAATTCGGTAGCTTTCCACATGCTTAATTCTTCAATACTTCGGGGTTTTCTGTGGAACTCGGACGGAATAAAAGATGCTATAGAAAGGCTGCGTCTATTGATTTCTATTTTATTTTCACTGGAAAATTTGCAGTCTTTGACTGAATTATTGTAAATTAATTTTAAAATTTTTTTTGTAACCCCTAAGTCTATTAGATGCATTTCATCTAAAGGAAACTGTGTAATCATACCGATTCCAAGTTTCTCTAAAACCATTTCGTTTGAAAGGAAATAGTTTTTGTGATGATCAACATATTTCCTTGACGTGTAGTCACTGTCAGTTATTTTAACACCTCTGCTTGTAGAATATGCTATAAAATTTCCTATTCGAGAGCCTACTTGCGTGCATTTCATACATACACTGAAGGATGAATGACCTTTTAACCCACATATAAATGCTTTAGCGGGGGCATCGCATATAAATGATTTGCATTTAACTGTAACTTTAGTCGTTCCTACCTTTATGCCGTCTAACTCTATGCGTTGCAACTCCTGAGCAAAATCATTTAAGAAGACATTTGGATTAGCAGGTTTCTGATTTCCTACAAATGTTCCAATCATAAAAACTTCACTGTCTTCAACATTTGAGAAATGTCCTAATATTGGCCAAAGTCCCATGCGAGAACTTTTAAAAAGAGGCAGGCCGTCAATGCCAACATCCATTTCAAGATTTGGATATTGCTCAAAAATGTGCCTATTTGTTTTTACATAGTTCTCGATGCCTAGATGTAGATAGTTTCCCGGAGCTACAGTTCTTAAAACAGGTTTCTCTCGACGGTTAACTAAACAATCCACAGAGCCAGGAACATCGATTCCCGAACCGACCAAAATTTTCAAAAGGGCACGAACACAGCTTCTAGGTGGGCTGAACTTAATATACCAATCCCGAAGTTGGTCTGCTAAGCTTAATCTTTCACTATCGTCTTGCTGGCTATTTTCTTCAGGCATGGGCATGGCAACATCTTCCAAAATGTCATCTTCATTTGCATTGCTAGAGCTACCTACACTATTTACCTCATCGACTAACACATTACTTTCCTTTCGTTGCCTGGCAATAAGTCGGCGTATGTTGCGCTTACTTAATCCTCTTTTGGAAGGCATATTGCAAAGATAATTCACTTGTTTGCACACTGGCGTTACTGCTGCTTATGTATATGTATATATATATATATATATATATATGTTTATATATAATATAATATATGTATATATATATAATATAATATAATATATATATTATATAAATTTATTTATTTATTGTATAAAATATTGTTAAAATTGGCTTGATTGCAAGTCTTTTAATTAATATATATGCATATAATTACATGCATATGTATTTACATATATATATGCGCGTATATTGCACGTGGTCATAAACGTTTGACCGTGAAATAATTGCTGGCAAATAAATAGCCAGAATTGCAATGTACAATGTATGTGTACACTTAATTCCGTACAATTACTATTAAAATTATTAATTGTAATGCAACAAGCCAATTTTACAAATATTTTTGTTTAACTTACTGCGAAATACTTTCCTTAACGTCCACACAGCACAAGAAAATCAGAAAAGTGACGCGACGCGGCGGGTAAAACGAAATCAGAAGTCATCACACATATGCAATTATGCACTTGTATTTACGCACATTAACACTATACACACAAAAGGAATAGGCATAGACAAAAAACCAAACGAAAGAAGAACGCGTGCCACACGCAAATCGGTAAAATTGAAAACGAAATTCGACAGACGCAACGAACGACGAAAATCGTTTGTTGATCAGAGGGGAAGGGGCATACAAAACCGAAGTTGACAACAGCTCGATTCTTTCGTACGAGTAGTCGTTTTTATTTTGCCCATTACAAATGCGCTGAAAAAAAATCTCATAGGTAATGCATTACTTACGTCTCGTATTTCATGCATTATTTCGACCAACCTCATTCAGGTCGTCGCCACTGGGTGTATGTATGCATGCGAGCACAAGCAGCAACCCAGTGGCGGAAATGCCCATTATTTTGTCCATTACTCATAGATTACTTGTCGCCTGTGTGCATGAAAAGATCGATTACAAGCTGCCTTACTTTTATAAGGAATGGCTGCTTTTTCTCCCGGGTGCATGAAATTATTGATTTTTCTAGTGCAGAAAATAATGAGGTGACGAAGTTTCCTTCGGCTCTCCATTACCCATGCGTATACTTTTTATACCCTGAACCCATTGAAAATGGGAAATCAGGGTATAATAGTTTTGTTAAAAGTATGTAACAGGCAGAAGGAGGCGTGGCAGACCCCACTAAGTATATATATTCTTGATCAGGGCGACGAGCTGAGTCGATTTGGCCCTGTCCGTCTGTCTGTCCGTCCGTCCGTCCGTCCGTCCGTCCGTATGTATGAACGCGTCGATCTCAGAAGATATAAGAGCTAGAGACTGACTAGAGCTGAAATTTTTTTCCTAGGTCCGTGTATATCACGCGCATATCAAGTTTTTCTTTTTATATCGATAACTACTCCCGATATATTATTATCGATTAAAAACCTTATCGAAAGCTAGTTATTTAATTATATCTCCTACACCTTTAGAGCTAGAGCATGCAAATTTTAAATGTAGACTTATATGTATTTTACATAATTTCGATTTTTACCTCACCCCCTCACCCTCACCTTTGTAAAAGGCGTACTAGAGTACTAGAGACTTGTGCTTTAGAATGTGCACACATACCATATGATTACGCTCTGAAAGTTTCATTAAGATTGTACATCTAGAAATTAAATTATTCAACAAATAAATTCTTATAATGTTGCCCACACTGCAGCGCAGCCCAAGCGCAGTCGCTGCTTACTGCGCAGTTAGCAGAGCGAGTTATCAATATGAGATTGATTTTACAAATATTATGTGTGAAATAAAAGACGTCTTGTTTCGAGTCAAATGAATAATACACTAAACTTTATTCCGTTTTCATGCTGACGACAAGCAGCAGCGAGTATGTATGTATAAGTTGCCACTCGGAGGCTCATACGTGAGCACAAGTAAGTGTGCACATGTACAGTATGTCCATTAATTGTTTGCAAAACAAAAAAAGTCGTACAAATTTTACTTTAACATCATATTTTATCAGGAAAGGCACTTTTTCTCAGAATTTTTTTTTTACATTACTTTAGTTTCATATATTCTTAAAGAAAATAAATAACAAAAATAATAAAAATAGCAACAAAACATACAAAATAATTCAAAACAAAAAAAAAACAGCAAATATCGGCTGTCCATTAATTCTTTGCAAAATGCAAACATTAATATTATGAGATCTGTATCTCTCTCAGATCGGTATGGAATTGGCTAATATTTGGTATGTCCACCATTAGCTTCCATTACACCTCTGAGGCGTCGCGACATCGACAATATTAGTTCATTTATGTCGTAGTATTCCGGTATTTTGCACCACTCCTCGTGTATGCAACGAATTAGCTCGTTTTTCGTCTTAGGGCTCCGTTTGGCGACTTCTCTCTTTAGTAAAGCCCACAAATTGTCAATAACTTTGCTGCAGTTATAAAGAAGCCAAGTGCGGCACAACAGTGACTTGTGTTTCGGATCATTATCCTGATACAGCTTATATTTTAGTTTGCTGGGGTTTTTAGGATTAATGAAGCCAAAGTTGTGCGCGCTTTTTGTCAATTCGTTCTTCAAAATATCCAAATAAAATTCCTTCGTCATGATATCGTCGAATATTCTCAGCTCTCCCACACCTTTCGAAGAAATACAACCCCACATCATCACTGATAGCTTGCCAAACTTAACAGTGGGCACAATGTTTTTGGCGTGGAGGGCTGTTTTGGGTTTCCGCCAAACTTTTCCTGGGCCATCATTATAAAACAACATTATCTTTGTCTCGTCGCAAAAGATAACATTATTCCAATAGTTAGGAGGACAGTCAATATGAAGTCTTGCGAAGGTCAGACGTTTTTCAATATTTACAGCAGACAGCAACGGTTTCTTTCTTGCCACATGTGAGGAGTATTTGTGTAAATTAAGAACTTTTCTCACAGTCTCGCGACACACTGTCTTTTGAAGGTTTAACCTAATGTCCGTCACCAACTCCCGGAGACTTGTGTGTGGTTTGTTTTCCACTGTCTTAAGAATTTGAGAACAATCTCGTCGAGAGAGCTTTGCTGGTCTGCCTTTAGAGCTGTTTAGCTCCA